TTTTAATAAAGACACCAACACTGCCTGCTTCGGATTCCTTCCAACAACTCTTCTGAAACGTTTGTTTCCACCGGAATCTTCTTTGGGAGGAAAAATAGTTCAAATTTCCTTAAATTACACTAATTGGCCATAAGAATTTGCCCGGCGAAGGGAGGTCTAATCTCCGAGGGTAAAATTGGTATCCTATGGCCAATTATTTTACCAGGGAGGTGGTTCTGTCACAGCATGCTTCAAAATACTGCGACATCAAAATCGTACAAAAACCCACACCATATGCAAGACACGTAGTCAACATTAGGACGAGTTCTAGTGGTAACTACAGTAAATAACATGGGTGAACCCAAGACAGACGCCACACGGTCACAGTGTTTAACTTGGCAGGATAACAGGAACACAGTGACAGGAGGAAGGCTGTGGTACTGCCCACGGAGGACCTTTACCATCCCGGCATGTGTGTTTACGTGCTACCGGGTCCTTAAGTACAGACAACACGCCAGTCAGAAATACACTGCGAGTCGGTGTTAACTGTCTTATACCTCATAATCTTGTCATCTTTGTTGACAAGTGTTGTAAATATGTTTGCATTGTTTTGTTGCTCAAAGAATATAAATTGTTTAAAAGGATAGGCGAGATTCTACAACAGACAAATACACACAGTGCACTCGGATGTCTGACAGGAGTGTCGTCTTACACACGTCAATCATCAAATAATATCATTTGATCTAACAAAATCTCTTATCGAGATTACATCTACGTAATCCTAATCTTTCTGTAATTCCCTTATCCCTAAGCACCTCCAGAGAGTCGATATTTTCCTTTCACTTCCTTCCCACTAATCTCCAAGCAGATCTTTTGGTGGCTGCAAATTGAGACAGTATCAAATTTGCCACGCAGTATCCCTTTGCCACACGAGGCTCTCTAGATGGGCAGATTTAACCGTAACGCTTTTGCCGCCAGACATCTACTTGGAGATGACTGTACACTCGAGGCTACCACCGCTGAGCGAACAAATATTTGACAGATCGCTAGAGAAAGAAATATTTCTTTTGCGTGCTTTGATGTCTGCGACTTCTAAATATCATACTTTTACCTGTTTTTACATCATGAATTATTTTCGAATATTAATAATCACACTTTTTGGTCGCTAATGAGTGGCTCGGTGATTACTGTCTGGTAAAAGCGAGGTCCTTACCGAAGATAGATCGGCTGTCCACCTCTGACCGTGTCGTCTGTCGGGAATGTGTGCCTGAGGTCTGAGATCACCAGGCCGCGCTGGACAGAGGTTACCGACCCACTGACCGCACAGAC